TTATTGTACATTTCAATTTATTTTAATCATAATTTTTATTCAATTCTGATCAACTCAATGGCAGACAACTTAGTTTATCAACAATTAATTCAGACATGGTCTATTTACTAATAATTAATTTACAGAAAAGTTCATTCATAAACAGCATATTTTTAAAGACAGCTCATTTCACAAACAAAGAAGTTAGAGTTACTTTTAGAATTAAAATTAACATTAGTGCAATTTATAAGAAACCTTGTCTGTGAAATAAGCTATCGATATACTGCTTATGAAATAAACTTATCTGTGAATTAAATGGCAGTATAATAAGCCTGGCCTGTAAGTTAATTGTTGGTAAACTAAGTTGTTTGTGAAGTTATTGTCATTGAAATAATACTGACATTTTATTTTATAATATTAAAAGCATTAATTAATTTGTGCATTTAAATTAAGGAATTCAAGTTATTCAGTTTTATTCATGATAAGTATAAAGATTATTGTTTCATTTACAAAATACCAGGAATGGAGTGATATGTAATATCACGAAGTGTATGGTTACTATGGCATTTTTAGGCATACTTTTGCAAAATCTCACAATTGATTGAACAATCAAAATCTCATAGTTGATTAAACAATTAAAATCTTATAATTGATTGTACAATCAAAATCTCATAATTGATTGAACAATGCATTAAATGCAATAAAACATGAAATTCAGCATTTAAACTTCATGAGATTGCATCGCATAACACTATATTTATATGTATTATAGTATGAGATATGTTTAACCATACAAATGTACTAACTTAAAACTTTATCGTTTTAACAGGTTTTTGTCTCGATTAAAGTGCATGACAATCATTTATAAAAATATTGTCTTCAGAATTGCACTAACCTAGTATCGGTATGGATTTTATCATTTTTATGAAAACGCAAAATTTTGAACTAAAATCAGTTCACACAACTCTTCATGTCAAATATCGCATGATTTTAATGTATATCTATGCTTACGGTTATGAAAAACATAGATCAATATGATTCAAAATTAGGATAGATCAATTTCTACTAACAGTGCGTATTTTTTTTGATAATTAAATTGAAAAAAAGGATGAGCCTTCTATTTCTTAGTTTTTCGTTAATGTCAATTAGTAGACAAATATAATTATTAATTAATATTCACATCTCATTTTACGGTGCTCGCAAAAAAAAAAAATTCAGAAATAATTGTTCACACCATTCATTCTATAAATCAGAATGGTCAATCTAATTTTGATAATTCTGTGCTTAAACGAATGCTGCAAACTGTAGGATTTAATTTAAAATAGTACAAAATGGATTGGTCATTCATGATATATAGCAAATTAGAGTTGGTCATCAATAGAAATAAGCAATTTTTTGTCAAAATCATACTGATTTTCATGAAAGCCTGATCTGTTTACAATAATTTTTATTTTAAATAAATGCAAGAACTTTAGTATTCGCTCAAGTCCAAAATTTTTAAAAACTAATTAGTCTATCAGAGCATCACTGTGATTACTGTATAATAATGATAATTAGTGTAAGGCTGATTCATATTTGATAACTTTGAACTTAAAATAAATTATACTATTTATTGCATTTATTTAAACTAAATTGAAGAATAATTTGGCTACTCAGAAATACGGAAAACATTTGTTGCATATTATTTTCCAGATTCTTTTTGCGGCCACTGTATTTCTCCTCATTTACATTTATTTGATACATCGATTATTACTTTCACTGATATATCAATTAATGAGCATAATTATCGTCTATTTATTAGAACTGTAATGGCCTGTATGGCTTTGCCTGGCTCTTTAAAACCATGGCTCTAACTTGAGCCATGGATGTTGAAGCCATGACTTAAGCAATGGATTCAATGGCTATTGCTAGAAACGTGGCACCTGATATCCATTTAAGCACTTGAATCCAGTCACTATATACAACTATTTTGCATCAGCTATCCAATATTTTCAAACTAGGCTTATGTTCATTCATTCCTGGTTTGCACGATGCTGTTACACAGCTACCTTATTATATTTAAATTAAAAAATTTAAGTTCCTATGCAAATAATTAGTAGATCATATGTTTATCATATATAATTATTATCAAATTTTTATTTAATCACTAATGCATATTATAAAATATTCTTAAATAAAATAAATCAAGCTTGAATTTGAAAATATCAATTGTTAAAAGCTAAAGCGGAATTTACTAGACAGGATCAGTTTCAAGAAATACAGTTCCCTAACTTTATTGAGATACTTATAATATTTATAATAATAAATATAAATAATAATTACTCAAAATTATTAAAATACTATTTAGCACCTTTTAAACTAGCTTACTTATGTAATTTAATTCTGTCAAATTGAAAAAAATAAGCAATAACAAATATAATAAAAAATAAAAAATATCCTTATATATATCTAGCTATTAAGACATATATGTATATCTTTGTATTTAAAACTTCAATTCTTTTTGAATAATAACTATGCATATAAAGCTACTTTAAACCTAATACCAAATTGCTAATTTCTAAATATGCAAACAACTATAAATTGTATAGTTGGATTTATTAATATATAAGTATTAAATTTTTTTAAAATATATGTATATATTTATATTCGTATCAAATAAATTAATATAAATAGAAATAACTTACCATGCCAAGCATTTCTATTGAATAGTATTACTATAATCCAACTATTAAAAAAATCAAATACACCAATCTTTTGTTATCCAGTAATTATATGCTCTTTTCCAATCAAAAATTGTACTTTCTGGCCCATTAAGTGAAATTAAAAGTAGCATATGCAAAGTAGAAACATTAAGTCGATTTTGAGATTTAGTTTTGATTAAATTTTGGTGAGAAAAAACTTTTTCAACTACAGCATTAGAAAGAGGTGTAATTAAAAAAATTGATGCAAGTTTTTTAATATTTGGAAATTGAGTAGAAAAATTAGAAAAATCAAAAAGTGCTTTCTATGTATAAATTGTTGTAGTATTATGATAATTAAGTAATCGATACTTAAAAATATCACATTCTTTAGTTAGTGAGTTATTATCAATAAGTACTGGATATTCACTTTGATTAAGTTTTTTTGGTTTTCCATAAAAATTTGCTAAGAAACAAATCTCACTATTGCCATAAGAATGAATTTGATTATATTGTGTGATAATTCACATGAATCAAAAATTCTTAGTGAATTTAATATTTCAGAATTAGGAAAGGATCTTGAAGAGATTCAACAGTTGCAACTGCAAATTGTAAAATAAAATCAGGAAGTTCTTCAATTAATATATTTTGTTCATCAATATATTCTCTTAAAAAGTTTCCATAGTTTGGTGGAATTCCATTATAACCAATATATTGAGTAGTAATTGAATTAATAGTTGCATTTAAATGCATATAAATTTCAGAAATAGTAACATAGTCTGCTTAAAAAAGATTCGTTAAACTTTGCAAATTATAAAGAATATCAGCAAGAAACTAAAAAATAAAAATAACTAAATTAAAATTATATATATATATATATTATATTATATAACTTTTACCTTAGTAGCTAAATAAAAGGTTTGATCCATTGCATTATAAAGTCCTTGCACAATAACATTTTTTGAAGAATCTTCCTTTAATGCTATTTTTATAGAATTTAAAATTTGATGTAAGTTAGATACAACATTGCTTAGTGAAAGCCACCGAGTATTAATAATACAAAGAAGAACTAAATTTGGATCATCTATTGTTTGTTCTACTAATTGAAGATTAATCATTTGTTTATAAGAAAAACTAAAATAAGAATATAAATTATTAACAATAGAATTATAATTTTCAAAATAAGGAACTTTTTCAGCAGCATCTTTGGCTGCCAAAGCTAATCTATGAGCAATACAATTGTGTTCTAAAAGAAAAGGATTTTGCTTTTTAAAAATAGTTGCAACACCATTTTTTTTGCCTACAAAAAATTAATTTGTAAGTAATTTATTTAATTATTTTAATTGGGTTTTATAATTTATTGTTATAGTGATGTATTACTACTTTAAGTTTGTGTTAAAATTTTGAAAATAAAATCTAAAAGTTAAAATCTTTAAAAGTTAAAATCTTGAAAATTAATTGTTATATTATGTGATGTTAGAGTTCTAATATTCAAACTTTGCATATAATTAGTAATCTATATTATTAATTATATATGAAGTTTAAATATTGAAACTATAATATAACAAATTTCAATGAGTAGTAATATATCGCTATAGCAGTAAATTATAAAATCTATAATAATTTATAATAATTTAAAATATTTACCAATCATTGTACTAGCCCCGCCACTTCCTATATGATACATATTGCTTATATCAAGTTTTTTTGCCATTAAAAAACGATTAATATTATTAACAATTGATTGTGCAGCTGCATCATCTAATTGAATAATGCCTAAAAACCATACAACTGGATAGTTATCAGATAGATGTTTAGATACAATTGCTAACATTTTTTCTTGTTTAATCGTATTGCTTTCATCAATTTAAATACTCCAATATGGTGAGTTTTGAATTTCATTACTTAAACTTTCTTCAATAACAAATGAAATTGCTTCTAAAAATTCTCGTGCAGAAACATCATTATCATATGAACCATATTCTGAACATACTAAATTAGGTGGATCCATAATTGATTGTACTTTCTTTAAACCAACAAAAGGTCCAAATAAAGCTTCATTTTTTGCTTTATTAAATTGCTGAGTGCTTAGGTTTTTTAAATCTTTTAATCTGTGAGTAGCATAATGATGTTTAGCTAAAAAATAAACATGTTGCATAATTTGAATAATATCTAATTTGTCTTTTGATATTACATATTTAAATCTATAATCAATTGTTTGATTATCTAAAATCAGTTTACTTTTTTTATGATCTTGTGTAGTTAAATGTTGAATTAAAGCATCATGCTTTAACCATTCACATTAAACTGTAAATCTATTTGTTTTTTTAGCAAATTTACACCAAGTACAAAACATTTTACCACCTTTGTCTGTTTCTTCATAGTGTAATCAATCAAATTCTTCTTTTCATTTTAAATTAAATTATAAATTTTTTTGTTAAGCTGATTTTTTTTATCAGCTGTGTTAATATTTGTATTAATATTTATATTGGAATTTGTATCAGAATCAGAACTTAATAATGTTTCTAACTTACAGGTTTTTTTTTTTTGTTATTATTTGGATCACTAGTAAAAAAATTATAAAGTGTATTCGATTTATTATCTTTTTCTTTTTTTCAGGACATTTATCATTATGAATTTAATAAAATTTTTTACTTTTTATATAATTTATACACTTTTTAAATTAAGTATATAATTAATTGACAAATAAAGTAAAGTAAATATTTATAACAAGAATAAACAAGTAATAGCAA